TAGAAGGTCAGGTGAATATGCGTGGCGCACGTGATTGTGATGTCAGGTGATCAGAAATAAACAAATCTCCCGTGAGTCAATTGATATTAAAAGCACCCCCCCCCCCAAAAATCACCCCATTCACACTTCAAAACGGCAAACCCTAAAACGCAGAATTCGGAATTGCATTAAAATAATATATAAATTATAAGTGGACTTTAATTAGTCCAATTTATGCCAGTCACATATTTGGTAGCAAAATAAATTGTGGTTTTCTATAAATTCTCCAGACTATATTTGAATCGGGCATGCATGTGAGCTCATATTATATAAAGTGCCTGAGAAATGGTCACCCACACATTTCCCATTTTGGATTTGTGTTACAATTAATTAGACAGTTATTGAATTTTTGGTTGAAAATGATTACTGGTGTTCGAGTAAATTTGAGATATTCCCCGTGTTGTCGCTAGTCCACATATCCCGAAACAGTTGACTCACGACTGTTTCCTTCTCTAGCCGAAGGCGACACCACAGTGATAGAGGGACTGTGGCGACACCAAACGACAAAGTATGAGAGGAAGCCATACACTTGCACTGTGCTTTTATTATACTGCGTCATTTCACGATACATATTTTTCGGTTGGCGCTTATTTGAAACGTTGTATTGTTGGCGGGCTTAGCAATGCGTATAGTAATTGTGTGGGAATTTATGCGTTTCCAGACGATCCGAAGGGTGTGACATCAATAGACAAAAGCCGTAAAATCAATGAGAAAAAGTTGAGATGGACATACTCCGTATACAGCCATACCTCAGATTCTTACGCGAATATCTGTCTTTAATAGTCCCCGTAAGGACGCAGTCCGAAAACTTAACGGGGACTTATGTTTTGAACTTTGTGCGTCCGTGTGTCCGTGCGTGCGTCCGGACCTGTATCTTAGCAATGCCTGGACCAATCACAATCGAACTTCACACATACATCATGCATACATACGCACATTATTGTGGTCATTTTTGTGCTAAACAATCATCAAAATCAAGCATTTATGGATGGATTTTGTTCAAATTTGGTACATATGGCACCTTGATGCACCTCATTTTATTTTTCAGATCCAATTTAAAATGGCCGACTGGCGGCCATTTT